GTCGAAAGCATGCGGTCCCTCCAATTGCTCCTTAAAATCACTCCTCCCGGTCCCTTTCCATAGTTTATACCAATAAACTACTACTCAAATCTCACTTTCACTCACCTAATGCTCCGGGTATTAGTAAGACTACATCACTTCCAGTGCCGAACTTTTCATACCAAATGGGGTAACCATTTACGTCAAACTTTCCACACACTGTCATGTCTTGAATTTTAAATGATACCTTTTAATCAATAACTGTATCTATACTTTGTTGCTGTCTTACTATATTTTCAACAACTTATTGTATTTATTACCCAATACTTACTGTATAATCAATATTTATTGGGTATTACCTCATTCAAGACATTAACAAAACTTGTTTTCAAGAAACTAGTTTTTGAATAATTAGTATTCAATAACTTCACTCTTGATTAGCGAAAGCAGACATTTTCCTTGTAATAAAATATTCAAAAAGAGATTTTGCGAAATTTCTTAAGTGTTATAAAAGTTTAATGAAATATAAAATGAAAATTCGGACTTAATTTTTAGTGAGTATTTTGTTANGCTTTCGCTAATCAAGAGTGAAGTTATTGAATACTAATTATTCAAAAACTAGTTTCTTGAAAACAAGTTTTGTTAATGTCTTGAATGAGGTAATACCCAATAAATATTGATTATACAGTAAGTATTGGGTAATAAATACAATAAGTTGTTGAAAATATAGTAAGACAGCAACAAAGTATAGATACAGTTATTGATTAAAAGGTATCATTTAAAATTCAAGACATGACAGTGTGTGGAAAGTTTGACGTAAATGGTTACCCCATTTGGTATGAAAAGTTCGGCACTGGAAGTGATGTAGTCTTACTAATACCCGGAGCATTAGGTGAGTGAAAGTGAGATTTGAGTAGTAGTTTATTGGTATAAACTATGGAAAGGGACCGGGAGGAGTGATTTTAAGGAGCAATTGGAGGGACCGCATGCTTTCGACCTCAAACGCTACACTTTTGTGGCGGTAGAGCTGCCGGGTTGGGGCCGATCACGACCGCCCATTAGGGCCTATGATCTCGATGTCTACCACAGGGATGCCGACTGTTGTTTCAAACTTATGGAAGTATCATATCATTGCATAAGTCTTAATAAATAGTAATACATAAATGACAAACATTTCATTTGTGTAGAACCTGGGTCATCAAACATATTCAATAATCGGTTGGTCAGACGGCGCCAAAGTAGCTCTTCTCATGCCTTACCTGAACCCCAATCGTATCACGTGTTCGGTGGCCATCGGGATCTTTGTTAGGGCCACAAAACAGACAATCGCTCCCTTGATGTTGACCCGGGATACTAAGAGGTGGCCAAAGGAACAGTACGATACATACCTTGAGATATACAATGATGAGGACACCTTCCAACTCGTGTGGGATCAACACATCAACTTCTGTAGGGTTGCAATGGAAGTCTGTGGCGATGGCCTCCATTTGGTGCCCCCGGAAACACTCAGTAATTCCTATAGATATTCATTACAAACAAATAAAAACATATAAATGTATTACTTTTTAGGACAAATCCGATGCCCAGTACTTCTAGTTCACGGCGATAAGGTATGATTGTATTGGTACAAGGTACATTGTATTACAAGATTACGGATTAATGAAAGTTTATTTATATACTAAAGGATCCGCTCATAGCTCTGGAGCACCCGTTGTATTGCAAGGAAAATATTCCGGACTCTGTGTTACACCGATTCCCCGGCGGTTCACACAATTGTCATCAAGTGTTTGCCGCAGAGTTTAAAAAAGTCGTACAAAACTTCTTTGACAACTGCGAGTCCGGAGGCTTTTGAAGTAGTTTTACTGCTTGTGAATCGCATTTATGTATATTTTTAATTTTTATGGATCAGTTATAATACAATTATATTTATTTAGTCAAAATATTTATTAAGGTTTCATTTGATAACACGTTTCAACTATGTATATCAATTGTGATTAAATTAAGTATTTTGTATAATTAAGAAAAATTCAAACAATTGTTATATTGATTTAAATCCCTATCACTAGATGTCTGATTATTTTCAACAAGAAATCTGATCTATATGTTTGGCACCGGTATGTGGATAGGGGATTAATGAACGGCAGATTATATAATACAGGATCCGCTAGTAAGTCTGGAGCACCCAATGATACTGTAAGGAAAATATACCAAACTCTATGTTACACCGATTTCCCAGTAGTTCCCATAACTGTCACCAAGTATTTGCCGCAGAATCTAAAAAGTGGTTCAAAACTTCTTTGAAAACTAGTCCAAAGACGTTTGAAATATAGATAGTTTGAGACACTATTCATTCAAATCGTGTTTATTTTATATCAATTAACTTCATTTCAAGCAATTATTAAATCCCTATCACTGATACATTCAAATATCTGTGTTTTACACATATGTTTGCATAAGAAAAAAAATATAATTAACCGATAGTTGGACTCAATATCGGGAATCCGTGTCTTCGGCACCACTGCTGTCATCACTCAACTCATCGCCACAATTGATGTCACAATCGGCCCGATGTTTGAGCCGTTGGCTCAGCGATGCCTTCATTTGCCTTCCCTTCGCTTTAACCAAATCCAAGAACTCATTCTCATTGATGACAGACTTCCCGAGTTTCGAGGCCTCCATCACTACTTTGTGATCCGCGTGCAAACCGGTCACCAAATACCGACTCTTTTGGGCCGACGTCTTGTAGACCTGTCCTCCGCAGCACTCAATCATTTCTGTGGCGTCTTCGGGCGTCAATTGCTCTAAAGTGCCGGAGAGTGTGAACCCAATGCCGCCAGCGAGTCGACCACTACCTGGGGATTAGATCTCCACCTGAACTTCGATACTATCTTCTCACTCGTCGATCTGATTATCTGTAAATGCCGTCTGATTTGACTGTAGTTAGCGATACCACGACTACCAATGGGCGCACACCTGAACGCCTTATGCTTGGGTTTGACTGCACTCGGCGTACAGGCGCTCAACGATATGTCCTATCGATGGATAAATGTTAACATTTTAATATCATTTGCAATACAATACATACCAGTGGTGTATCATCTGATAGAAATTCCATTGCTTGATATATAAATCAATTAAATTATTAATTTCAATGTTTGTGTAATGTGTCCAGGTCACAATCAAAATACTTTAGGTTTCAAATAACTAGCGATCGATGGATACCATGATAACCAATGGACACTTCGCTTTGTTATACTATTGATTCACATGATTGCCAATATTATAATTTATTTTAATTTATCTTAATTATTGACAATAATTTTACGCTTTAATTTCAATGGCAAACATATTTTATTACTTTAATCAGTCATTAATATCACATTAATTATTCACTATTAATCCGAAACCTGTACTTCTGTCAGCCAATCACAAGAGAACACCTTGGTTAAAAACTTCTACATTTTTATACCGTAATGAAAAGCATTTTTTGTATTTTGGATCACTTCTGAAAATGTTAACTCAATAAACCACTTGTTTTTGTGTCACAAAACCAATTGTCTTAATTGAGTCGCAGTACTGTTAAGTGTTGGGCCCATAATTAACTGAATTGAGGTGAGGGACCGCCCGGCAAAGCCCTTAACCACAAGTCAAATGAACAGCCGAGACGTGTGGTCAGCGACTGTCATAAAGACACCAAAGTGGACGCCAACACCTGTCTGTCCCAATCCTACCGCAAGTCATACATGAGCACCAGTGGTCAGAGTCACTGACCAACAGTAGTGACCACTTGTGAAATGCCGTGAGAGCTACCGCTGGCCTAAGCGCTTACAGTTGCCGCCCAGAAAGTGATTGTATGCTTTGGGCAGACAATGACACCCCTGGCCCTAGATTCTGATTGTCTGTCCGTCCGAGATCCCGAAGCATAACCACTTGATAATGAGCATCTAATATTAGACAGGGTCATGTGAACTCTTATGAGAAAAATATGCTCATTCATTATTATTGGTGTGCACCATAAGTTGAGTACACTTTTTAAACTCACTCATAAGATATTTAAACTCACCTGGCTATTAATAAATGTCTCACTTGATTAATAGATGAAAATATTTGAAATTATTGCCAAAGAGTTACGAATTTCTAGTGAATTGTTTAAATTTTATATTGCATTGAATTGTGTGAAAATAATTTATGGTGATATGAACTGTTACAATAATTATTAAATAGCCATGATAACTAAAATAAAATATTTTTAGAGCGATGACCACCCGGATGATTTTGTTTATATTTATTTGACACTTGGTAATTATTGATCTATAAATTAAATTGATTTGAAATACTTTTGTCTCGAAAACAATATTTTTAGAAAAGTGAACGAAAAGTTTGAAAAATGATTTTTAAACACAAAATGATTGTCGAAATTGATGGTAAAAATGCCTTTAAAACCATAACTCAATCTATTTATCGTTTTTAATAGCATTTGATATCTATTTTCGATAGCATTTTCCCCATTCATTGCGATTATACGGTCGCAACAGAAATGTCATTCAATTTTAAATCATTAACTCATTTATTTTCCTCAACTTTTTTGCTTGTTTATTTTTGTTCATTTAATCGTTTCGCATAAACATTAATCAATGCATTAATTAATAAAGCTTAACGACAAATGATAAATAAAACTCTAAGTAATTATATTTTAAAAGTGAAAATTAGTTCAAGAGTTCATACAAATTGCCATCAATTCATGTTTAATACATTTGTAAACATGTTTTATAGCCGTAACCCTATAATAAAAATAGTATCCTAAAAATAGCCATTAATAAAATATTAGACTTTGCTATTAATTTGAATAATTTGACTTTTTTGGGCCCAAAATCTATATCTGAAATAAGATCTCACGGCTTAAGAGTTGTTGTGATTGAATGCATATAAAGCGAAAAACTCGCGAAATATAGATTTGATTGAGAAATGAATGTCTTGTATAATATTTCAGTGAAAATACTGCATGTTTTCCCATTTGATATGCTTTCCGATGTTAATAGTGAAACAGTAGTCG